TCAGAGCCTGGGCTCGGGACGCCGCGCCACGTGACCCGTGCGGGCTGGACCCGCGGGGCCCGGCGGGAAAGGCGATGGGGACGTATGGCGCGGGCACCCAGGCGCTGAGCCCAACACCCCGGCGACCGAGAGGGCGGGCTTGGAGGGCCCCGGGGGGGTCGCGCGCAGAGGCCTCTGTAACTTTGTTCCGGGACTCGCGGGACCCTCTCTCCTAGGGCTGGCCTCGAGTCTGGTTCCGGGATGTGGGTGCATCCCTGAGCCCGGCCGGCCGCGCTTAAGGACACGCCGTGGTGGGCCCGTGGTCGCTCACGTTGCGTCTGTACCGGAGGCCCAATGCACGGCTCGGCCTCTAAGGGGACCGCCGGCTCGAGTCCCTGGACTCGGAGCTGGTGTAGGACGGGCCACCACACGCGCCTAGTCCAGCGGGAGACCCGCAACTTCCTCGATTTTTGAACAAATGTGGTGTCCGGGGGCTCAGGGTTCTCAGCTGGGGAGTACCGGCAGATCCAGCAGGGTCTGGGGCCCCGGTGGGATCTGGATGCACTTGCAAGCCCCCAAGGCCCTAGCTCTCGAGGAGACTTGCATGGGTCACCGAGCTGGGGACTCCCGAAGAGTCTCCTCGGGGCGCCAGAAATGAGGATGGATGGGTGGGTGGCGACCAGGCAGGATGGCGCCCCTCGCACTCCCTTGGGGTGGCGGAGCTGGGACAGGGCGGTCTCCGCGCTCAGCCTCCCCTGAGGTCCCGGTGACCGCTAGGCCCTGCGCACCGTCGGCGACTCAGGCGCGGAGAGGTACAACGCACAGCATGGGCGGAATGACTCTGGTTGGGCCGAAACCGGGCTCACCTGGTGGCCCGGTTTCCGTTTGTAGGAATCAGCCTTCAGCTCACATCGCCCCAGGGTGCGCCCGGGTCGGAGGAGGGGGCGCTGGACTCGTTCCCAGTGGAGGCCGAAGACCCTGCAGGCGGAGGTGGACGTAGGACAAGGGGAAGCCAGGTGGATGCGGCAGCTGGAAGTGAGGGTCCTCGGCCAGCAGACTCTGGGCCCTGGGGTCCCTATCTGGAGGTGGTGGTGGGGCGGCTGGGGAGCGCTGTCGTCCTACGCGGGTGGGGGCGCCGGCGCTCGCACCTCTCTGAGCACCCTTCTGCCTGCGCGCAACAGAGAAGGATTGGGGTGGGCTCCGAGGCACCTAGGCTGCCGGGAGCGGAATGTCCGAGAAGGCGGCACACGCGGTCCCGACTCACATCCCGGGACTGGGGGCCTAACAGACCGTGCCACGGGGGTGTGGGGGCACGGCCCCCCGACTCCACCGCAGCCTGAGCGGAGTGGAAGCCTAGCGGTGGGAGTGTGTGCCTTTGGGAGGGGCCAAGGCGACCTCCAGCTCCCCCACTTCATCCAGCAGTCCCACACCCTCCCCCACGCTCATCCGCTAGGGCCCCGTAGATGTTGCTGGGTGGGCTCAGGTGGTCCCCGCTCTTCCTGGCCCCACCCCCGCGACTTGACTGTGGATAGCTCTCTTTCCCTCGTTGGCAGTGGGCCCCACAGGGCAGGAAGGTGGGGAGGGATCCCGTGCTGCTAAGGGGCCTGGAAACTCGACGCGCCCCAGCGCCCTAGCGGGGAGGGAGCTCAGTCCGACCGTGCTCGGCTCAGGCCGTGGAACTGCGAAGCTGTTGGAACCCGCGCTGCCCCAGCGCCCTCCAACCGGGTTCCAGAGAAAGCTTCAATGAAACGCAAGATGCCCCCAGAGCATGGAGCACAGGGAGGTGAGAAGGGGGAGACTGACAACTTAGGGGGGCTGAGACCCTCCCTCCCCTAAAACAAGGTTTAGAAAAAAAGGAAAGACTCCGCTTGCTGGGCTCCTGCCTGGGGGTGGGGGGAGGCGGTGGGATTTGAACTTTTCAATTGTAATAAATTCTACAAAGAAGAATAGTAAACACTCATATTCACTTCGTCCTATGATGTGCTGATTTAATTTTCACCTCAATCTTACAGGTAAACGCCATTGTTATTCTCGTTTGCAGGTGGGAAAGGAGGCACAGAGAGGTTGGGTAGCAAGCCCAAGGGCACACAGCCGTAATCACAAAGGTGTTAAAGGAAGCATGCAGCCTGCAGGGAAGGCTGGCGGTTGTGGTTCTGTGTTAACAGATCTGTAAAGTGGACACGAGGAGCCAGGGAGCCCTGGTGGCGCAGTGGTTAAGCTATCGGCTGCTAACCAAATGCCGGCAGTTTGAATCCACCAGTTGCTCCTTGGAAACCCTACGGGGGCAGTTATACCCTGCCTTCCAGGGTTACTAGATGGCATGGTTTGGTTTGGTTTTGGTTGGGGTCACAATGGTTAAGCGCTCGGTTGCTAACCGAAAGGTTGGTGGTTCGAACCCATCCAGCAGCTGCTCGGGAGAAAGACCTGGTGATCTGTTCCCATAAAGATTACAGCCTAGAAAACCCTATGGGGCAGTTCCATTCTTTCCCCTGGGGTCGCCATGGATTGGAAGGGTACACAACGACAGCACAGCGGACATGCACTGTTTTTGTAACTGAGATCATGTTGCTTCAAAAGTCTGTGCTCTTTCTTGAGATGCTGGGTAGGGGTAGGGGGCTTCAGAAGTTGTCTCTAAATCCCTGGTCTCCAGCAGGGAGGGAAAGGTCAGAGAGGGTTCCTCCGAGGCCGGCCCTCAGCAGTGTGGTTGCTGGGAGCCCAAGGCCCTTCTGGCCTCTCACACAGGCGAACAGGCACCGGCCTCTGCAGAGGTGGGATGTGAGCCCACCTGCCCCCTGCCCCCAGCAGGAGAAGCTGAGGCTGCTGGTGGGGGGGGCTGGACCCTTGGGGCCCCAGGCGCAGTGAGGGGGACTGTGGCAGGGCAGGGAGGGGCGCTGGTCATCTGTGAACCCCTCAAGGTCCCTTTGATTTGGGCCAAAAGACAAGTCACTGCCAAAGCTGCAAAGCCAAGGTTGCCCCAACTTCCCCCAGCCTCCCTCTGCCCCCCACAAGTTGCCTTCTGATATCAATATGCCTCTGTCACCCTCCTGCTCAGACTCTGCCCCCAGGCTCCCTGGAGCCCTCTGGAGGGAGTCAGGCTCCTGAGCCAGGTGCCCCAGCCCACCAAGACCCTGCTCTCCCCTTGGGACCTCTTCCTGCAGCCCTAGCTACCTCTGCTACCCCATCGGTCAGTAAACCTTCCTCCCCACAGGCCTTTGCCCATGCTCCTCCCCAACTTGGAGGGCCTTTCCTCTGCCCCCTCTTTACCTGTCAAACTTCTACGCATCCCTCAAAGCCCAGCTTGCACGGCCCCTCCTGTATGTGACTACTCTCTCTCCTCGCTTGTACCTCATCGTGTGTGGACAGATGGCCATGTTCTCCTGGCTGTGTCCCCAGCAGACGATGATTGCCTGAGGGCAGCTTTGGGGATGGTGGGTCCCTGCGGTAGGCAGAGTGTCATTTGAGGCTCCTGGCTGTGTGACCGTGGGCAAGTTCCTTTCCTCTGTGTCTCCATTCTTCTGTGAAGGGGGTGACACTGGCGGTCTCCCTTCACTGTGGCTTTGGGGGGATGAGTGAGACTAGGTGCCCATAGCATGCTTCTGGGACAGGCGCACACTTGGCAAAGTCTTGCTGAAGGAACCAAGGTAGGGGAGCCGCGCACGGGGGCCTGGGGTCAGCTGTAGGAGGGGGTGCCAAGCTCCGTGCCTGCGGCGGCTGCCTGTTAAGTTGGGCAGCTGGAGGGGTGCGAGGTGGCCAGGAGGAATTTTCTGCCTTGAGGTGTCCCTCGCCCAACGTGGCAGGCTTCCCTGGCCCAGTGGGACCCTTCCCTGGCCCAGTGGGACCCTTCCCTGGCCCAGTGGGACTGACCCGGGCTGGCCAGAGAGGACACGTTTGTGAGATGGGGACCCCACCCCACCCCCATGGAGAGAAGAGGGCTAGTGTGTCAACAGCCTGGTGGACAGGCAGAACCCCGTTTCCTGATTCCTGGGGGTGGAGGGATTTGGTGGGGCAGGGGCTTTGGGAATCATGAAGTCCAAGACTGAGTGGCGGGGGCAGGGCCGCCTCCCACCATCCTGCCGGCTCTGGGTTTCATTTCAAGCTGTCACTGGCCCAGCAGCCCCCTCCCCACTCCTGAGCTTGGGAACCGTTTACCTCAGACACACTTATCGAGGGGAAAGAAAACAGTCCCTATTGTTTGGGGATAAGGGGGCGTCAGCATCTGGGCCAGGTCCCAGGAGGGACGGGCCTCTCCTCTGGCGCCTTGGCGTCCCCCACCCCCACCCTACATGCTCAGCTTCGGCTGCATGCCACCCCGGCCCCCGGGCAGGGTCCCTCCCGTAGCACACCCCTTCCGGCTGCCCTGGTTGGACCTGGCCCGCCCGTGCAGACTGGGCGCTGGCTCCCCCATGTCCCCGCAGCCCTGGGTA